ATCATCATCATCATCATCATCATCATCATCATCATCATCATCATCATCATCATTGTTGACAATAAAGAGTGAGAAAGAAAAGACTTAGTACTGAAGTATTCTCTTTTAGTTAAGTTATTCAATGAAAATTGTGAAAGAAGATACTAACACGACTCAACTTTTTAACTCCAAGGTTTCAAAATCATCATCATCAAACTCCACAATCATACATTATAAGACTATCATAGATGTATATTATTATGTTGATAATGCCACGTGTAATTGTTTGTTGTTTTTTTATATTTAGTGGATGTTTTACTGCACTCACAACTGCATAAGGTCATATGAGCGCCAAGGGGTGGATGTCAACAGAGAAGTCTTTACAGGGAATCAGGCTTACTCTGCTCACCTCTCTAGCTTGAGCAGCACAAAGTCTGCTTCGACTTTCAAGGCACCCGGGAAATAGAGGGTCACGAGAGTGTGACAAACATACAAAAGAAGTAGAGGGAAAATGAGAATAGTAAGGATTAGGAAAGAAAAAGCAGCAGTTCCATGTTGTAGATCAGGCAGTTATGAGAATGACATTTATGAATCAGTCCATTTACAATTCTACTGTGCATGAAGGAGAAATGTCCCCCCTTTGGGAATGGCCTTAAGACACTTCAGTCAGTGGCACTGCTCCGGGGGGTGGTATAATAGTGTGTAATCATGCGGCACATAACAAACAAGGAGGACAGTAGACGACACACGTGGTGAACATTACAACACACACACAGGACGACACAGTAAACGTAAACGGACCATATCAAAACGCACAATGACACTAAAACACGTATTCTGGTTACGTAACAACGTGCGGTTATGACGTGGCAACGCCTGATCCAAACACTGATGACGTCACAATAAACCGTGATGTCGTCACGATACATACATTGATGACTTTTCCCTTGGTCGAGTGAGTGTTGAAGCAGAACAATTTCTTGTCTTGAGAGCCGTAAGTCATGGCGGCAATCTTGGCAGTACCCTTGTCCACGTCAAAACCCTCTGGAGAACGAACGTTGGGTGCTTGGGGTTAGTGGCTATCTATCTATCTATCTATCTATCTATCTATCTATCTATCTATCTATCTATCTATCTATCTATCTATCTATCTATCTATCTAACTGTATGTATGTCTGCCTGCCTGTCTGTCTGCCTGTCTGTCTGCACGCCCGTCTGCATGTCTATTTGCCTCTCTGTCTGTCCGTCTGTATGTCTGTTTGCCTGTCTGCCTGTCCGTCTGTCCGTCTGTCCGTCAGTCTGTCTGTCTGTCTTTGCACTCATTCATCTTACGTGCTACAGAGGTAACGAAGTCCAACTCCTTGGCAAAGTTCGCGTCGCCCACATGGTCGGAGGCGTCGATGAGGAAGAAGAGGTCCACAGGCCTGCCACACATTTTGTCTGTGGATTTTAGTTTTAGTAAGAATTTTACGGCACTTGCAACACACTAAGGTCATATAAGAGCCGAAAGATAACTGTGTTTCAAGAGAGTAGTATACACAAAAACGAATGAGGACAGATAAGGACGATATAATAATATATTTGATAGGAAAGAAGGAGCAAAACACACCACAGCACCCGCCAACCACCCATGTCTGTGGATGGAAGCGGAGGGGGATCGTGCTCGGCGACGCCCTCGTCTTCTTGTCAATGTGTTTGTTTGAGCGCTTAATCAGCTGCTTGCTCTGTATGCTTCCCGTGAAGCTGAGAACGTTTCTGGGTGTTCTGAGGTCTACTGGGGTAATACAAGAGTGTAAAACGCATAGAGCGTGCTGTAGAGCGGAGTTGTGCGCTGTACAAATGCTATTATATTTATTTCTATTTTTTAAATTATTATTTAGTTGTTATTCACTCACCAGACGTGTGGCACCTTCGCTCGTGTGTTCACCATTTGCGTGTTGACCGTTAATGTGTTGACCGTTAGTGTGTCGTTTCTATACCAGGGGCAGGGGCGGGGGTGGGGGTGGTGGGGCTAATGCAACTTTGAGACACGTGGGTAAACATACTGCCCTTGGAATCGAGAAAATGTCTTTAATAACTATTACATGACACGACAAGGTTTAGCAATGAACCTAGAAACGGCAGCGATTTTTTTACACGCATGTTATAATTATTTATACCAACCCACATCTTTGTTTTAAAAAAAGGGGGAAATGGTATATTTTGTTTAACGCCTCTATCAACACAAACAGGTTATTTAAGAGGAGGCGGGATATACGAATTTAACGTTCGTCTCCGAAAGGACGAGCCAAACAGAAATCCAGTAAAGTGCCATTCCTATGGACACAACGTCGGACCGAACTGAGGCTTGAACCCCGAACTTCAATCTCACGATAATGGGTCCGGTAGCCGTAACAACCAGACTATCGAAGCTGTCCCAAAATCTTTCAGAATATCTTTGTGGTCATCAGTTTTGGAAAATCATTTAACACATTTCTCTAAAGAATAGTTATTTTGGGGATATTTTTACGAACATTTCCTTGGTATTTTTTTCTAAAGATATGAAAATCAGATGTTTCCACGCACTTCTGCTTTTTGCCATACCTCCAGGAGGGCCATCATGTTTGACGGGACGTCATATGTCTATACATTCGGAGGTGCTACTGGTACTTTGGCATCAAGAAGAAGCGTGCACAAGCTTTTGCAAACCTTTTTGAGACAGCGAAAAGAACATTTTTAAACATTACTATTTCCCCTTGCCGTGTGGGCAGCTGACGTAGAGCGAGAGTCTCACCTAGAGTACAGTGCTTGGTCTTTTTGTTGTAGACAAATCCGAGTGGACAGAGGCACTTTTTGCCGCCTTGGGCTTTCACACACTGGAGGTTGGCGCTACACACAGCGGTGCATTTCTCACGGAACCCAGGCACTGGGGACAGGGGAAGATGTCAGGGGAAGATGTCAGGGGAATATGTCAGGGGAATATGTCAGGGGAATATGTCCAGTAGAAGAAGTCAAGGGAAGATGCCAGGGGAAGGTGTCAGGAGAATATGTCAATTAGAAGATGTCAATGGAAGATGTCACGGGAAGATGTTTAGTAGAAGAAGTAAGGGTAAGATGTTTAGTTAAAGATGTTGGGCGAAGACGTCAGGTGAAAATGTCCAAGGTATATGTCTCGTTGAAGATGTCAGGGGAAGAAGTCAAGGGAAGATGTCAATTGGAGCTGTCTAATAGAGGATGTCAGGGGAATGTGTCATGGGAAGATGTCAGGGGAAGATGTCAGAGGAATATGTCTTGTGTAACATTGGCAAAACGTTCAGATGTACTAGCCCAGAAAGCAAAATTTTTCTGGAGAGAGAAAAAACCTGTTCTGTTTCTATGACAATAGAACTTGCACTGTGTATTTTTCCCTATATTTAGAATTTGAATTTCGACAATAAAACTGTAAAATTCGTCCTTGGAGTTGTCTGTTTTTGTCTCAGAACGTGAATCAGAATTCATTAAAACTTTTGGCAAAATCAAACTAGCGATAACACACAATTAAGAAGGAGATGAAGGGTCAGGGTGTAAAGGACAAAGGTCAAGGTACTCACGTGGTACACAGGCGTATTTGTTCGTGTCGTAGACGTTTCCCTTCTTACAAATACAGCGGAACTCGCCCGCGGATTCCAGACATTGGTAGTTGGAGGCACAGTGGTCAGCACACAGCTGGTTGTACGCCGGGACTGGGGGAACAGTAGGGTGGGAGGAATGAGCTCATTTCTGCCGTCTTATGACAGGAAAACGTATATTATGACAAAAAAGGAATTTTACAGGAGAGGGAAACAAAACTAACTTTTGTGTGTGTTTCAACTTAACTAAAATTTGGTTGATCTGATTCTATGTCATTTGTCAGTGTAACTTTTGTCTGATTTGCCGCGGTATACAATAAATGGGTATGGAGCAATTGATTAAAATTGCTTTTGTCATAACAATATCGATATGTAATTAAGTCACAAGCATTGTTTTCAAAAGCCCAAAACCATGATTTTATTTGTACAGCCATAAAAGAAAGATACAAAGACGCGACAAGAGAAGGGGTTCTCCACTGTATAAAAACGTTTCTAGACCTAATTAGACATACACGTTTTTTGTCGTGAGATTACACATTTGAAAGGGGGGGGG